TGTTGTTCTGTACAGTACATAGCACAGCCTGGATTTTAATACCTCCACAGAGTCTCTTGGAGAACCTTGTCTGAATTCTGAGGATACCCTGTTCAGCTGCCAGGTTGAGCATAATCTAATGAAGACATATTTTGTGACTTAGCAGTCTGCATCCCAGGGATGCACCTTGTGCTCACACAATCCTGTGAGCTCCACAAGGACAAGGGTCACATTGGTCTCCAGGGCCTGCTTCCCAGTGGCTTTTGGAAGAATGAAGGAATGAATGACATTTGTGAGGTTTAACCAGGCAAATTTAGACAGAGGCATATTGGAAAATGTTTTTTGGGAAGTGCTTCTTATATTTGAAACATTTAAAAAATAGATGCTGGTATACAATTGTGAGAGACTAGGTAAAGTCAGACCAAAGTAATGTTGGAGAAGTTTAGCCGTTGGAAAGGTCAGGACTGATATTTCTGTAAGAAGAATCAGAGAGGTGGGTGTTGAATCCTGACTATGGTACTGCTCTGTGACCTTGAGAAGTCATTTCACCTTTGAGCCTCATTCCTCATCTGCTGCTGAGAATGGGTTATGGTCTCTTTCTCATAGGAGTGTTGTGAAGATGAAATGAAATAGTGTATGTGAAACTACATAACACAGTGTCTACAACAAAGGAGGTTCTTGGTCATTCTTAGTTTCTTCTTCCCTGCTCTTTATTTGTTTGTGTTGCTAGGAGTAATTGCTTGCTTGACCAATATTACTGCCCTTGTACTCTAGCTTTCAAAAAATCCCCCATAGCTTCTTTGTTTCATCTTGAACATGAAATTGTAGATTTTTACAGCACATATTTTTGAGAAACCCAGGCTCAGAAAGGTAAGTGGCATGTCACTCTGATTGATTAAAAGTAATTAAAAGTAAACCTAGCACTAAAACACAGGCCTCAAGACTCTCGGTCCTTTCCACCATGCTGTTTGTGATGCTTTCTGCTTTTATGATGGGTGTGGATATGGAAGATCCAGGATTTTTAAAAAAATTTATTTTTAATACTTTTTTTGATTTTCAGGTAGAGTGGGAGGGAGTGAGGGGGAGAGAGAGAGAAACATCAATGTGAGAGAGACACATCGATTGGTTGCCTCCCACATGACCTCAGCCAGGGCCGACAATGGAACTGCAACTGAGATATGTGTCCCTGACCAGAATTGAACCCGAGACTCTTTGGTCCAAGGGCCGACACTCTAACTGCTGAGCCAAACCAGCCAGGGCAGGACTTGGTTTTTATATTGAGTCTTAAATTACATGGAGAAATATCTTGTAAAATAAAGCTTTGAGTAATTTAGCAGTGTGGATAAACTCAATTAATATAATAAGCCATCATTATGAGTTAGCTTGATTTTTCTGTAGATTGCCACACCCTTGGGGCAGAATTGCCTGTAACTGATTAATAATTTCAGAATAATTGTACTGCTGTTAGAACATTATATGATTTTGAGTGATAATATTCCTTTGTGTTGTAATTTTAAAGGTGGTGAATCTTACATTTTTGGCTAATTAATTTCCCTCCTTACCCCTATTTATTTATTTAAAATTCTATATTACATAAAATATTAATTTGAAGATGAACTTTGATATGATTTGTATTTTAGGAAAATATGCTTCTGGATTTTCCTACTTTGTAGACATTTACATTGTTTTACTTCTTGTGACTCCTTATCTGTTTTGTAAGAGACACAAAGCAAGCCATTTGGCAGGCACTTTTTATTACTTCTTAAAGCATTTAAGATCATCTTATCATATAGTGAACACATAAATGGAGAACAAAGAAAGGAATAGCAGTCTAGTAGAAAAAATAGGGACTTCATATGAAAGGATGGCACGTGGGCCCTTAATCATGTGAGACCTTCAGTATACTTTATTTATACATAATGAATTTAAATGAAACTTTGTACATATCTGCTACACACTATATACATATTTTAGTAATTTTTTTGGTGTATACTGTATAGCAATCACCTTTTGAAACACCCTTTACACGTTATAGTTGGATTTTTTTTTTTATACCAGTGACTATTTTTTCTAAAATGTGGTCTTTTAGTTGCCCTGAGAGCCTGAAAGGTGAATCACTGCAAGGAGCTCTTTCAAAAGAACCAGAAGTGTGAGGTTCTGAGCTGCACTCATTTGAACCAGCAGATATTCATTCCCTAACTACTTCAAGAATATAGAACGGTGCGCTGTTTTTTGAACTTCAACCCTTAGGGAGAAGAGTCACAAATACAATAATCCTGTAATACCCTGAGTTTCAAAAATTGAAATAGCTAATGCAAATGCAAACACGAGTTAACTTGTGAGCGGTCAACAATGTGTTAATATCTCTTTGCTTTGGTTACCTTGTGTCTGAAGTGAAAATCAAATGAATTAATAAATGTAAAATAGTTAGAATAGTGCTTGGTGCATAGTGCTTAGGAAATGTTATTTGTTATTGTTGCTATTATTGTGATTATTTCTAAAAATGATGCCCAACTTCACTCATCATAAGAGGAATTGAAGTTTAAACAAAACTGGGACACCACAATAATACACTGTGTAGTAAGGCTGTGGGTAAACAGTTGCTACCATACACTGATGGTTATTTTACATATTGGTACTCCTTCAGTAGAGGACAATTTGAAATAGCTATTAAAGGTAAACTAGCTATTGAATTTTGATCTGGCAATTGCATTTTTAGGAATTTAATCTTAGAAATTCATGTATAAAAAAAGACATGTATAATAATATATGCAAACAATAATTGCAGCATTGTTCATGTCAGCAAAAGACTGGAAGTGACTTAAATGTCTCAGTGGAAATAGGTAAATTGTTGGATCGATATAATGAGATGCTCTGTAGCACCATTGAAAAGAAATGAAGTGGGGATGTGCTGTTAAGTGGGGTGGTGGCTTCCACAAACACATACATATAATGCTCATTTAAATGTACACTATCTCTGGAATGAGTTAAAACAACTACTAACAGTGGTTGCCTTTGAGGAGAGGGTCTGGAAGGGAGAATAGGGAGGCTTACCCTTTTGAACTGTTTGAAACAAAAATTTTTAACATGTTTATGTATTAATTTTTACCCTCCTCCAAATTCTTTACCTGTTCCCACCAACACACACACACACACACATATGCAAGTGTGTGTGCACAAATATACACAACCTTGCATGCACAATTTTTAGGACATTCAAATGTTATTCCAGGAGTCTGTCTGTGCAGTGACAGGGGATCATGTTTAAAGCTTATTGAATATGTAGTGTGATACTTGGGACATAATAGGCACCTGAACCTTGTCATCCAAATTGGTGCTGATAAGAAAAGTCTCCCCGGATGGTGGAAACTGAGGCCTTGACTAAGTACGGATGCTCAAGTTCTGAGGCTTGTTTTATAGGTGCTGGGGCCAAAAACATACCTTAGTCTTGGGCCTCTGAGAAAAGAGTGAGTAGGAAGAAACTTCAAGAGTTCTGTACCTCGTTGGGAAACTGTAGTTGTATCTATCCACTGTTTGGTTCTATTTCAGTTTCCAGAGGTGGGAGTCAGAATGGAAATTCACTTGGCACGATAGGGTTTTGTGCTTGTGCACCCCCTAGAATTTATAGAAACACCTTTTCACCCTAGCAGAATTGGAGCCATGAACAAGATTCTTTGTGTAAAACTTCTTACACAGATCAAGTTTAGAGTTTTAAGGAAATGTATACATTTCTCTACCTTTTTTTTAAATCCTCACCAGAGGATATTTTCCCATTGATTTTCAGATAGAGTGGGAGGGAGGAAGGGGGAGAGAGAGAAACATCAAAGTGAGAGAGATACATCGATTGGTTGTCTCCTGCATGACCCCAACCGGGGTGGGGGATCGAACCTGCAACCCAGGTACCTGCCCTTAACCAGAATGAACCCACAACTCTGGTCTGCAGGCTGATACTCTAACCATTGAGTCAAACTGGCCAGAGCACATCTCTCTACTTTTTATTGGATACTATTTAAGCCAATTTCTACTTGCATAAATGCTCTATATAGTCATCAGTTCTAACACCAAAATTAGGATAAATTGTCTTACCCTTGTTCAAATGTTTCTCAATGTGAAATGAAATATGGTCTGTATATATGTAAAAATGTGGCCATACAAATTAGGACCAGAACATTATGCTTTATTTTATGGTTTCATCCAGTAAATCTTAGGCTAATGTTTCTTAATGTTTTTGACTCTCTAAATTATCTGAGGGGGCCCAGCTGGTGCAGCTCAGTGGCTGAGCGTTGACCCATGCGCCAAGAGGTTGCCGGTATGATTCCTGGTCAGGGCACATGTCTAGGTTGTGGGCCAAATCCCCAGTGGGGGGCATGCAGGAAGCAGCCAGTCATTGTTCTCTCTCATCGATGTTTCTCTCTCTCTCCCCCTTTCCCTTCCTCTCTAAAATCAATAAACAAAAATAAATTAAAATGAATAAATGAGTAAATCTAAGGGGTGTCCCGTTCCCATTGTTAACAGTGGCTTGGATTAGCAGTGATATTCTGCAAGGGGTGGGAGTCTTTCAATGTCTTCTGGCAGTGGTAGTGGGAGAGTGGGGAGATAGGATAATGATTCTGATTTTTATAACGCACACACCTACCCACCCACCATCACCATCACCATCACTTTCCTGTGGAAAATATACCTGATGAGAGAGCCTGGTTTCATCCATTTCGCATGCCTTCCCTCCATTATCTGCTGTCTGATTGCATACAAGCATGTATGTAACAGATTAGCACTGATTTATAAGTGTGCAAGACAAACAACTGGTTCTAGCAAGTTTCCCTCCCATTACTGGAAAAGCCCAGGTCTGAAGGTGGAGGAAGGATTACACACATTGCTGGGGAAAGTGAGCAGTCTGTTTATCCAAAGGTGGATAATTTATTCTGGAATTTGCTTTTTGCTTTCTTTTATTAACTGTCTTTTAAACAATTAGTTTAGTGGTTATTTAATTTTTTTCTTGGAATCCTTTTTATTTGTTACAGCAGAGATGTCCGCGTATTTATAGGAATTGCATGAAGCCAGAGTCATGGTGGATGTAGGGAAGTGGCCCATCTTCACTCTGCTCTCACCGCAAGAAATTGCATCTATTCGGAAAGCATGTGTCTTTGGCACCTCAGCCAGTGAGGCACTGTATGTTACCGACGATGATGAGGTAAGAATCTCTCAAAATCCACAGTTTAATTTTAGGGCTTCTTTTGGGATTGCGCTTTACAGCATGCAGTTTGAAGTGAGAATGGTGGGGAACAAAGAACCTGAAATTCAAGAAGTCTGTCTTTGATATAATCTGTCTTTTCTTTCAGTTTCTTGATTTAATATCACTCCACTCCTACTACTCTTTGAGTTTCATAGTGTAGCCAAATATTTTAAAACTTAAGTAATGTCAGCAGAAGTTGACTTTTTCTTAACTTTTTCAATCTCTTCTACCCACTGAGCTGTCTCTGTTTCAGAGTGAAGAAGGGAGCCTTTGTGGAACTTTAAGTCAAATATCTCAAACAGAACTATTTGTTTTCCAGGTCTTTGTATTTGGACTAAACTATAGTAACTGTCTAGGAACTGGAGATAACCAGAGCACACTTACACCCAAAAAGCTAGAAGCCTTATGTGGAAAGAAGATCAAAAGCCTTAGCTATGGCAGTGGGCCACATGTTCTTCTCAGCACTGAAGGTAAAGAGGAAACAAGTCAAGCTTTTCAGTTTGTGGAAAATCAAGCAGTTAATTCCAAGCTAAAAGGTGGTAGGGCTGGATGAAATAATTTCTCATGGTTTGTTTATTACTTTCTGAGTGGTAAAAGTTAAAGTATTTCAGACTAGTTGTGAACAGCCATAGGATGACTTGCAAATTAAGCAAACTTCTGAGGTTTTGGGCTACTTATGTAAAGTTGTGGAAGGTTAGATACAGCAACAGAGTGGTCCTTGTAGCCTAATTTTATGACTAGATTTGTGGTAACAGGCAACTTTAAGGTTTTACTTGGTACATTTTTATAAACACAGGTAAAACGGGTTTTCTTTTCTTTGTGTAGTTCCTGAACCTTGAAGTCAAGAAATCTTAGTTTATTCCTTGGCATTCCTGTGGTCTATATGGGAAAAATGGGATCGATTCCTTTCCTTTTTTTCTCTGCCTCCCCAAGATCAATCACTGAAGAAGGAGACTGTTCTTTGGTTGTTTATCTCCACTGTGGGCAACCAGAACTCTCTGAAAATCTATTATTTGTAACCTAAGTTCTTTCATTTCTATTTCAGGCATAGTAGCTCTCTCTTTTTCTCTCTCTCTCTAGCAGAGGTCCTCAGGTTTTTGTTGGGTGATCCTATAGGATGGCATTTGGGAGACAGTTTGCTCCTCTGCCTTTCTGTCTCCAGATTAGGAGCTTCCTTGGATGTTGCTGTAGGTCTTCTTGGTATTGAACTTTGTAATTTCTTTTAACTCATATCTGAGTCTACTCCATCTTGTCTGCATCTTTCTCAAGCTCTGAGATCCATTTCTGAGCATGATTATTTAGTAAGAGTGTAACTGATGTTGAGCACAATGAGATAATTATCTCACTTCTGTGTTATGTAATCATGCCTTCGAGCATCACACTGGCTCTTTTAAGCCTTTACAACTTTGCCAGCTGGTTCAGCCTGTCATCCAATGTGACCTAATGATTTAATTTTTTCCTAACATAGATCAATTTTAACTAGTGATTGATTTCTAACAGTAAATTCATGAGGCAGTTTTTTAGAACAGACATACTAAAACATGCATTCAAATTTTTGCTTTTCTTCAAAGTGGTGGCCTTAGGAAATTATAACTCTTCTTTTGGAATTATTTTCAGCATCCACATTGTAGAGTTTTCACTATTTTGAATGGCACAATTAAGATATAAATATAAATAATGAACATAAAAATTTGAAGATCTGATTTTCTTATGGGAATATTTTTCATTTTGTTTTGAATTCAGTTTTGATTATTATATTACATTTTATACAAAATACATTAAACATGTGCATTGTGTGTCATGTGTCAATATATATAGTCATGTGTATTACATGTTTATAATCATAGTTTTAAAACAATTTAACACATTAAATCATCAAATACTTTATGGCTTTTGGTAAAAAGCAGAAGAACCTCTGTATTACCCCTTTTCACTCTTAGAAACTAACTATTCGGAAGGAACCACTTCTAACTCTCTTAGATATTTCTTCTGATATTTAATCTGATTTTTAAAACAAATTTATCTTTATTGTTGAATGTATTACAGATGTTTCTCATTTTTCCCCTATTGACACCCTCCTCCCCGCTCCTGCCCCGCTCCTGCCCCGCTCCTGCCTCGCTCCTGCCTTTCCCCACACTGTTGTCTGTGTCCATTGGTTATGCATATGTTCATCGTATAAGTTATTTGGTTTATCTCTTCCCACCCCCTACCCTCCTTCCCTTTGAGGTTTGTTATTCTAACAACCAATTTGTATTTCTTAATCCCTTCACCCATTCCCCCAACCCCCCTCCCATCTGGCAACTAACAACATGTTCTCTGTATCTATGAGAATGCTTCTGTTCTGCCTGTTCATTTAGTTTGTAGATTCAGTTGTCGATAGATATATATAAATTGCCATTTTGTTTGTTCATATTTTTTATCTTTTTCTTCAAGAAGACCCTTCAACATTTTATATAATAATGGTTTGGTGGTGATGAACTTCTTTAGCTTTTTCTTGTCTGAGAAACTCTATATGGCCATTGATTCTAAATGACAGCTTTGCAAAATAGAGTAATCTTGGTTGTAGGTTGTTGCTTTTTTTTTTATTTTTTTTTTTATCCTCACCCGAGGATATTTTTCCATTTTTTGTACAGATAGAGTGGGAGGGAGAGAGAGGAAGAGAGAGAGAGAGAGAAACATCGATGTGAAGGGACACATCGAGTGGCTGCCACCCGCACGACCAACCAGGGCCGGGGACAAACTGCAACCGAAGTACATGCCCTTAGCGGGAACTGAACCCGGGTCTCTCCGGACCGCAGGCCGATGCTCTAACCGCTGAGCCAAACCGGCCAGGGCTGTAGGTTGTTGCTTTTCATCACCTTTGAATATCTATTGCCACTCCTTTATGGCCTGCAGAGTTTCTTTTGAGAAATCAGCTGACAGTCTTATGAGAGCTCCTAGGTAACGAACTGCTTTTCTTTTGCTGCTTTTAAGATTCTCTCTTTGTCCTTGGGCATTTTGATGATGATGATGTGTGTTGGTGTGGACCTCTTTGGATTCATCTTGTTTGGGACTCTCTGTGCTTCCTGGACTTGTATGTCTGTTTCCTTTACCAAGTTAGGGAAGTTTTCTACCAGTATTGTTTCAAATAGGTTTTCGATTTCTTGTTCTCTCTCTTCTCCTTCTGGCACCCCCAAGATGCAAATGTTGGCGCACTTGAAGTTGTCCCAGAGGCTCCTTACACTATTCTCATTTTTTTTTTATTCTTTTTTCTTTTTGCTGTACTGCTTGGGTGTTTTTCGCTTCCTTATATTCCAAATTGATGGTTTGCTTCTTGGTTTTACCTACTCTACTATTGAATCTATGTAAATTATTCTTTATTTCAGTTAGTGCCTCCTTCATTTCTGACTGTGCATTCTTCATTTTTGACTGCTCCTTTTTTATGCTCTTGAGGCCCTCACTAAGTTTACTGAGGTTCTCACTGAGTTCATTGAGCATCCTTGTAAGCAGTATTTTGAACTCTGCATTTGTTAGGTTGCTTAACTCCATTTCGCTTAGTTCTTTTCCTGGAGTTTTGTTCTGTTCTTTCATTTGGAACCTGTTTTTTTTTGGTCTCCTCATTTTGGCTGCCTCCCTGTGTTTGTTTCTATGTATTACTTAATGAGAAATATGGGGATAGCTGAGACCAGATGCTGCTTGTTTGAAGGAATTTAGGAAAACCTGAAGCAGGATCCAAGACAGGCCAATCCTATGGTAAAGCAACTGGCAACAGCTTGGGTGGGCCTGAAAGTGGGGTGGGGCGGGGTGGGGTGGGGCGGGGCCTCAGGGGGTAACCAGGGTGGGGCAAATAGTGTGAGCCAGATTGCTGGAGTCCCAGATATGGCGGCTATCTGCCAACCCAGGGAAGGGCTCACCAAAGGAACAAAGGCCTCTGATAGCATGCCTGTCCAGGAGAAAGCTGCCTGTCCAGGAGAAAGCTGCCTCTCCAGCCCGCCCTCCAATGCCAAACAACTCAGTTCTTCCCCATATGTCTCTGGTGCCTTCCAAGCTGCCTCCCCAACTCTGGAGCCTAAAGGTTGTGAGTCCGAGTAAGTCTGTGCACAGGCCCTTTAAGAGGAGCTGCCTGGGGCTCCCGCAGCCGCAGTCTCCCTCAGCCTAAGCTCCTGCTGGTTTTTCTTTTTCTTTTTTTCTTAATTAATTAATTACTTTACTTTTGTTTTAGATGTTTCTCCTTTTCCCCATTGACACCCTCCACCCCATTCCTCCCTGCCCTGTCCCCAGCTTTGTTGTCCGTGTCCATTAGTTATTTGTACATGCATATAAGTTCTGTGGTTTATCTCTTCCCCACCACCCCCTCTTCTGAGGATTGTCTACCCTACTTCCACATCTCTGGGACTACCCTGTTCTTCAGACTGTTCATTATATTCCACAAATAAGTGAGATCATGTGATATTTATCTTTCTCTGCTTGGCTTGCTTCACTTAGGATAATACGTTCCAAGTCCATCCATGTTATCTCAAAGGACAAGAGTTCTTTCTTTCTTACATCTGCATAGTACCCTTACGTGTATATGTAGACAGCTTTTTTATCTACTCGTCTACTGATGGACACTTGGGCTGTTTCCAGATCTTAGCTATTGTAAATAGTGCTGCTACAAACATGGGGGTACATATATTCTTTCTGTTTGGTGTGTCAGGCTTCTTAGGGTATATTCCTAGAAGTGGGGTCAGTGGGTCAAAGGGCAGTTCAATTTTTAATTTTTTGAGGTAACACCATAGTGTTTTCCATAGTGGCTGCACCAGTCTGCATTCCCACCAGCAGTGTACTAGAGTCCCCTTTTCTCCACACCCTCGCCAACACTTGTTTGATGATTTGTTGATGGCGGCCATTCTGACAGATGTGAGGTGATACCTCATTGTTGTTTTAATTTGCATCTCTCTGATGATTAGTGATGTTGAGCATTTCTTCATATGTCTTTTGGCCATTTGTATGTCCTGTTTGCAGAGGTGTCTGTTTACCTCAGTGGTTCTCAACCTTCCTAATGCCACGACCCTTTAATACAGTTTCTCATGTTGTATGTGGGTGGAACCACCTTGTGATGGATAAAGGAGTGGTGTTCAGTTCCTAAGACCATTGGAAATATGTGTTTTCTGATGGTCTTAGGCGACCCCTGTCAAAGGGTCGTTTGACCCACAAAGGGGTGGCGACCTACATGTTGAGAACCACTGAGTAGCTCCTCTGCCCATTTTTTAATTGTGTTCTTTGTCTTCCTTTTGTTGAGTTGTATGAGCAGTCTGTATATTTGGAAATTAACCCCTTATCTAATATATCATTGGCAGTTAACGCTCTCCCTTACAGTGGGTTGTCTTTCCATTTTGATGGTTCTTTCTTTTGCTGTGCAGAAGCTTTTGAGTTTGATGTAGTCCCATGTGTTCATTTTTTCCTTTGTTTCTATTGCCTTAGGTGATGTATCAGTGAAAATTCTGCTGCG